TAAAGAAGAACAAAATCATGCTGTTTGCAGAAGAAAAAATGGACAGAACTGAGATCATCATGTTAAGCGAAATAAACTGGATTCAAAGACAAATAGCACATGTTTTTCCTCATATGCAGAGTCTAAATGAAAAGAAAACAGACATAAAAGTAGAAGGGAGACTATTTGGGAAAAGGAAAGGAACCAGTAAGGAGGGAGGGGAGAAAGACAGGGTAATGGAAGGGGAATATGATCAAAGTACTTTATGGGCATGCAGGAGATTTTTGTAAAGAAACCTATTACTTTGCAAAATTAATGCATGTTAATAAAAATGAGTGGAAGCAGCTGGGACAGACTTAGAACAGGTATTATTCATTAGTTTATATAGTTGAACCACATGAAATTACTGGTATTCAACTGTTTTGGACTACAAAAATGTAAATTTTATATGATTTGACCTATTATTTTTCTTAACATTTTGCAATAAAAAAATAGAAACAATCTTGGAAAAAACAGTTATTTTCAGTCACCAGCACAATACAATGTACTTAATAAAAGATTCTACCATAGACTTGAAAGCTTTTTGCAATTTTAAGACAAAGAAAATTTAGGAAAGACGTAAGTGCTGTATTTTTTGGCAATAATGGTTTTATCTGATTTGCATTCTAAATTCCAGATCGACTGAATCAACTTTCAGTCTTTAAAAGTATCTGTTCTTTATTTGAAAAGAAACCTCGCCTTTCCCTCTCTCCCTCCCTTCCTTCCCTCCTTCCTTTCTCTCTCTCTCTCTCTCTCTCTCTCTCTCTCAGCAGTACTGGGGTTTTGAACTCAGTGTCTTGCACTTATACTTGAGCCATGTCTCCAGCCATTTTTTGCTTTTTAGGCTATTTTTCAGATAGGTACCAAGCTCTTTGCCAGGGCTAGCCTAGGACCACGATCTTCCTCCTATTCCTCCACACAGCTGGGATTTCAGGTGTGATCCACTAAGTTCACCTTGTTTGTTGAGGTAGTCTTCCTGAGCTCTGCCTCCAGAGTAGCTGGGGCTATAACTGTGAGCCACTGTACCCAGATGAAATTTTACCTTTATGTGCTAAACTGAGAAGTGAGGGATAGCTGGAGTTCTTCAGGGGATGCTTTCTCATGTGGGATGGGAACATGAAGTGTGAGCTGACACCAAAATTTTTTTAGGACTGAGCACTGTGTACTGGAGAATTAAGGACACCTAAATTCACATTAAATTGTCAATAATGATTGCTTTTATTATCTCTCCAATGACTCTGAATGATATGAGGAATCTGACAAAGAAAGGCAGTGCATATTTGTGTCGTGGTATACAGGATAGAAATGGCAGAGCTCTCAATTCGCACTTCTTGACTTAACACTTGTCTGGAGCAGAGACCATTGAACTTGTCTATGCTCAGTATCATGAGTATTTATTAGACAGTGAGTCTGACTCCCTCTTGTCTTCCTAAGGTAAAAGGATCAAGACACTAAAGAAAAAAATCACATGTTGAATACAAACCCTCTGAGACGGGAGTATGTAACCAATTTATTATATGTAGTTCAGGTGAGAGAACAGGCAATATTTTTTAAATTTCCAAGCTAGATTCTTTTAAAGAGGATTAGCAAACTTGACTTGATGAAAGGCCCCTTATCTGAAATCTTAAGAAAAAGACCAGGAGAGGGAGGAAGCAGCTCTGTTGGGTGAGTGAAGACTTAGTTGGATAGTTGGGGCCCAGCATAGAGTTCTCTTGATGTCATTTTCAACTACTTCATGGGGCATGAGCTCCAGCACTTGAAAAATGCCCTGACACTTAAACAATTAAAGACAGGAACATAGAACAGGTCACATTAAGGAGAGGGAACTACTGGAGGGGGAAAGTAAATGAGGAGAGGGAAGATGGTTGATGCATTTTCTATGTATATATGAATATGGAACATTGAAACCCGTAAGTGATTTTAAGAAGGAGTAGGGAGGAAGAGAGAAAATAATGGAAGGAATGAACCTAACAGGGGTCTGTTGTATGTATGTATGGAAATGTCACAATGAAACACCCTGCACCAATATTAAATACTAATAAAAAAAATTTTTTAGATGCCTTGGTTGCAGGAAATGGCAGCTGTGGCCAGGTGTTTTCATAAATCCACCAACATCAAAATGCCAGGGAGTTCTGGCTTTTGCTCCTTTGTTGCCAGTGTAGCAGCAAACATTTCAGATCAATGGAGCACAGAGCTGCTGTCCCATGATTACTCCAAAAACACTCAAAATCTAGTGTCTAGACCTGATTTTTCTAAGTGAGGATTCTTTAGGGTTTGTTGTTATTATTAGAGGTTTTACATTTCTGGAATGAAAACGGCAGCTCTAGTGTACCAAAAATAATGATAATGGCAATAATAGTATTGATAGAACAACTAAAATTATTTGAGGATTTACTATTTGATGGGTCCAAACAGAGTCCTTAAAAACTTATCTTATGTATTTCTCACAATAACCCTATAACATAGGTGATATTTTTATTACTTTTTTCCCATTTTTATTAGCATACACTATTGTATAAATGGGGTTCCATTGTGATATTTCCATATACGCATATAATGTATTTTGGTCAAATTCACACCCCCTTATTGCTTTTTCTTATTGCCTCTCTCCCCCCTCTTAAACAATTTTTAACAAGTTTCATTATTCTATTCTATTTTCATACATGTGTATGAACTACTTCGATCACATTTTCCCTTCATCTTGTCCTTTCACCCTTCCTTTCCTGCTGATTCCCACCCCCAAACACTCCCACCCATTTACACTCCTGTCATTCATTTTGAGAGAAGTGAGTCACAGAGAGATTAAATTATGTATCTAATGGACTCAAAGCTAATAGGTGGCAAAATGATTATTCTGAATTTGACTGTTAGTCTTAAAAGTCCAGGAACACCAGCTTCCTAGAGGTAAAAACAAAATTCTCATTCTCTTATCATCATCACTATTGGACGTGTCCACAAGGTTGGCCTAACCATCAACCACTGTGCTTTGGGGAAAAAAAAATTCTAGCTGTGTGATGTCTTCCCACACCCCCATCCTCTTACATCTGTTTCTTTGCAAAGATGATTGACAACTGAGTCTGGAGTCTAAAAATTCTTACAGCATCTTCAACTCAGAAGCTCACAGGAAGTAATTAACTGGAAAGTCACTATTTTCTGTCTCCAAGAGAACCTCAGCGCCAGGAAGTAACCCTCTTGGTTCCTCCATGGAAAGACTAGACAGTAACGTACAATGTCACCCAACATATCAAACTAGCAGGGTCACAGACTTAGGCACCTACTTCAGATAGTGGTATCCCAGTATCAGACTCCTTTATAACAGTTGAAGCAACAAAGGATTAGTTAAAAGCAGTATTTCTTATCTCCACGGAAGGCCTTTCCTCCCTTGCCAATATATGACTGTTTATACTCTCAGTTCATTTCTTGGCTCCTGAAGATATTTTATTGCCTGCTAAACTAAGTTTTCTCTAGATTGCTGGAGAAGAAAAACATCCCAACCTGCTTATTCTATCAAAACCAGCTCTTATATTATATTGGCCAAAATGAAATCCACTAATCCAGGGCACCAAAGTTGATAATATGAGAGAAGGGTTTTTGATAAGCTTTTTAAAAATCCTCTGGAGTCACAGTTGGTCATTACTTAACCTGTCAATCTTATGCATTCGGTAAGACTCTGTCCACCCCCCTACTGGATAATTACATTTAGTTATATTGTTTGAGTTACTGTCATATAAGCACTGAGAGAAAAGAGGATATGACCAATGCGCTTCATATAGCATTTAGAATATTGTCAAATGTAAAAAGATGCTCAAATTCTGCTCACAATGACATGTGGCAAATTAGCCCCTTGTGTCATTGCAGAGTTGACAGCATCAGGGTTACACAACTTCCTGACAGCATATTCCTTGGACATGGTAGTAGTGGTACCTGATTGGAACAGTACTTGAAGGATACCTGTCTGCTGAGGCCTTCTCCTTATGTTGTAACTCAGAGCACATTCAGGTGGCCTGGACTGACATCTTGGCTCTGCCACTTGCTTGTCTTGTGGCCGAGTGCAATGATTTAATTTTCCTGAGTTTTGATTTCCCAATCAGTAAAATGAGAACAAGGCTTCTTTTCTATTCTGCCTCTTAGGCTCTTGTGTGGATCAAATAAGAAAACTGGAGGGAAATGCTTTGAAGTACTATAAAAATACATTGATTGATGAAGATTTTAAGGTGTGTGTGAAAGAGAGAGAGGGAGAGAAAGAGAGAGAATCAGGCACACACATAGAGTTATGGAAATGTAAGTAGAGATAAGATAGTTTAGAGGATTTGGGCTTTATTTTTTATCAAACTTTAATGCTTTCTCTCCACTTGAGAAATTGGTCAATAATTATGGTTGAATTTTTAGTACCTAGTTTGAATACCTCCTAGGAAAACCAACAATAAGTTGTTATTAGTCTTCCCCATGCTTTCTGAACAAAAGGGAATTCATTTGGCTCTGACTATTTATCTAAGATCCAGAACATTTGTTTTAATTCCCTGGATATCTGTGTGTCATCAGATTTATCCATATATTTAATCTAAATTCTATGTGCTATCATTTAAGGCCATTATATCTGATTTTTTCCTCATCAGTTAATCTGTATAATAGTGTTCTATCTGGCTCATTCCATCCTTTTACATTTCTGTGGACAGTTATCATCCTAAATGCTTCACTTTATTTCTAAGCCAGTTCAGTTTTCCTTGACCCAAAGGCCATTATTTGGAAATATTTATCACTTTTATTTGGTCTCCTATGAAATCGGAAATACATTTCATCTATCCATTTAAATTCAGGATCACAGGCTCATGCTAGTCCTGGCTGTATGAATCAAAGAAGAGGGCTCTTGTCCAAACTGTCATGTTGTTTTCCTATTGCTGTGTGTTCCTTCTTTTCTCTCCTAAAACAACCCGAGGTGAGCAGGGAGAAAAACGCATCTTTCTGGATGAAGTAACTCTTACCACAAAGACTTCACAGCAGATGCAAAGGCCACTGTTCTTGGTAAAAGCATGAGTTATGTCCAAGAGAGCAGGTCTTGTCATGGGTGCCCCTGTTAAGACAATGCACTGGGGCCTGAAAGTAAGGAAAACGAGGTGTGAGAGTTGGCCATTGCAAGAAGCCTGTGAGCCCAGAAGCATGGAAATGGAAATGGTAGGTAGAGAAAGCTTGACAAAATAAGCCCACCTCTCATTTTTGGTCCCCCACCAGGATTCTTGACTCACCCTGCCTATCCATCTGGCCATCTTTGTATTCTTAGTTAAATTAGTCACTGTGAAGGTATGGAGTAAGAAAAAGGTAGTCTTGGGTTCCTGCTGCCTTTTTTCCCCTGAACAATATCCAACCTCAAATCACAATACAACTTGTCCCTCTCCTAACAGTATATTCTTGCTATTGTCCTTCATCTTCTTTGCAAGATTGTGTTGTGAATTATCATTCAAAAGAAGATATAGCTAATGAAGAACAAAAAGTATTTCTTCTAAGGGGATTTGATAAGTCTTAAGCTGAATGGAGACAATACCAATGATTATGATGTGTGGGGATTTGAGGATGTCTCTCTGAAATCATGCCAGTTAGGCCACCACTCTATCTCCATGCATGGAAGATAATACTTGGTTCTGGGTGAGCATAGCTTAGTGTGGAAGGAGAGAACAACTTAGTGTCAGGAAGTGCTGTTTTAAAACTGTGGCAGTTTTGTTGCTCATTTTTAGACTATACCCATAAAGCTTGTAACTACTCTAGGGTGATTATCTCCACTAAAAGAAAGGTTCTTCTAATGTGGAAAGCCAGGATACCTGAGAAGTCAACTTTACCTGAAATTTTTCACATGGTCTTCTACTGTGGTTAATTCCAGAGCATTGTCTAGTGCACTCACATAGGAAAGAGCTTGTGTGGAGGAGCCCCAGTTCACATCTGTGGAGGAAGGAGGAAATTCGCATGAAAAGCACTGACCTTTTCTCTGTACACCATGAATATTTTTTTTTTTACAACTCATTCCCTGCTATAATTTTCATTGGCTATGCAAGCAGTGATGAGTGCCCAAATTAGAGGAAATATTGTGTTTCCTAGAAAGAGCATCGCGTCCTTTTGTGAGCACTATGTGAATCCTTACAAGTGAAACTTCTTTCCAGCACCAACTGTAAAGAAATCTGGCTTGGTAGGAAAAGCTGTGTTGGGATCACAGTGCAGGCAGAAAGACCTGGGAAAATGATCACCCTCTGAATAAGTTCAAGTAGTCTCCACAAATTCTTAAATTCAAAGCAAAAAAGTGATTTCTGAACACACAGATAGTGTGCAGTCATCTCTATATTTTAGATAGTAAAATGGAATAACTTAGGAATTCTTAGAGGTCCATGAAGAGGGTCAACATTCTTTAGTAAGCATTTTAGTTTGACCTAATCTTCATAACAAGGGAGGTCAGTGCTACCCCTTTTTGCCTTTGTGGTTTTTTTTTGTTGTTGTTGTTGTTTTGTTTTTTTGTGGTACTGAAGATTGTGCCTCACACTTGCTAGGCAAGAGCTCTAACACTTGAGTGATACACTCAGTGCTTTTGTTTTTATTTTAAATTTTTTCAAATAGGGTCTCTTATGAACTTTGCCCGGGCAGGCTTCAAATGTCCTACCTCTGCCTCTCCTGAATAGCTAGCTGGGATTGCAGGCATGGATCACCACACTTAGGTCTAGTTCATTATAAATTTAAATATTAACTGAATTCTGAGTTGTATGAAGGGAAGTTCCTGATAGGAATGCACAGATACACTCAAGATGAAAGACAGAGCCACTCTGTCCACTCAGAAAAGTGAAAGGGGATGATTTTCTGGAGACAAAAGGAATTAATATTGATTATGTGCTGACTGTGTACCAGGAATTAAACATACCTTAAGATATTTGTTCTTATAGGAATAAAACCTGTACTAGTCAATTGGACATTTATATGTAAAAAATGGACCTTGTACCATACCTCACACAATATATAAAAATCAACTCCAGGTGGATGATAGGCCTTACTGTAATTATCAAAGTATTAAAGCTTCTAGAAGGTTATGACCTTGGGTGAAGGTAAGATATTTTAGATCATACATAAAATGCCAAATCATAAAAGATAAAAGAGGGAAGATTATAAATTAAACTTCATAAAAATTAAGAACTTCTTTTATTCAAAATGTGCTACAAGGAAAACGAAAAGAGGAGCTACAGACCTGGAGAAAATATTTCCAAACACACGCTGAAAAGGATTTGGCTCCAGAATATATAAAAAACTCTCGTGATTGAATAATAAGAAAACAACTGAAAAGGCAGACAAAAGATTTAAACAGATATAACCAAAGAAGGTATATAGATGACAAATAAGATATTCAATATTATTAGTCACTGGGAAAATGCAAATTTAACCACAGTGAGATAGATGTTACAATGCTTTTTTAAAAAAATGACTGATAATACTACATGCTGACAAGGATGGGGAGTAACTAGGAGTTTAATTCATTGTTGGTAGGAATGGAAAACTAATACTGTGACTCTGGAAATCAATGTGACAGTTTCCTGTAAAGTTAGGTAAACACTAAGTATATAAACAGAAATCTCCAAGATATTTACCCAAGAAAAATAGAAACATAGGTTCACATAAAGTCCTGTGTATGAACATTTATATCAGTTTTATATATAAGCACCCTAAACTGGAAATAGCCCTGATGTCAACTATTGATTAACAATAGCTTTTTAAATTGTGATATATTCATAGAATGCAAAGCCACTCAGCAATGGCAAAGAAGAAAAGTACTTATACATGCAACAACAAGGATGAACCTAAAAGCATCATGCTAAGTGAGAGGAGGTACACGTAAAAGCTACATACTATATTATTCTATGTATGCGATACACCGAAAAAGACAAAGCTATAGCATCAGAAATTAGATAAGCAGTTTTGAGGGGCTAAGTTTGGAGGGAAAAGCTTGACTACATAAGGGCATAAAGAAACTTTCAGGGGTGATGGAAGTGTCCTATATCTTGATTATGGTGGTGGTTACAGAACTTGCATATGTTTGTCAAAACTTACAGAGTGGACACCAAAAGGGGGTGAACTTTTGCTATATGCAGATTATATGTGATGTTAAAAATACATGCATGAAGTAATAAAGAAAACCAAACAAAATGTTTTCAAGGAGGTTGCTACCATCTCTGCCTTGATGGCAGAGCAAGGGGAAGGGATGTGCTCTGATGGCTCTGGCCCTCTCAGCACCACACTCTGATCTCTGGTCACTCCTCACTTTAGTCCACCCTTCTCACTGGCTCTAAAGTTAACACCCAAAGTTCAGGTCCAGATATGTTTCTCCAACTGAACAACTTAGGCCATCTTCTTAGTGCTCACCAAGAAGTTAAGTTTCTTATTTAGTTGGTGCCAATCTACCCTTCCATGTTCACCTTGTGTCTTCTCTTCTTAGCATTCAATAATTCCATGTATGTTAAGACTGTGAGGTTTCCCAAATGTGCCACACACTTCTATGTGTCCTTAACTTTCACTCATGTTGTTCCTTTTTCCTACAATCTCACTCTCTGACTAGGTTCCATTAACCATTCTCTAGTGTCTTATTATTGTCTTTTTTTAAACTTAGTTTATTTGTTCATTCAATACATATTAATTAAGTTCCTATACAATGCTTGACCATGGGAACACAAGCCATGAACCAAGAAAGTTTTATTGGACAATTTAATCAAGGTTACTCATTCCTTCCCCCTTTTTCAGCATTCTGCTCATATTGCTCATGTGGTACTTACTAGACTGTATTAAAATTATTTGCTTAAGTGTGAGTCTATGAACCCCTTGAGGACAGGGACTTTCTCTCATCTAGGACATTAGAAACAGAAGTGATAAACAGAAAGTTTGTGGGGTTTGTTATCATATACCACTCAACTCTGGTTAAAGTCAGCTCCACTACATCCTGACTGTTACCTTGGCAAGTGATCAACTCTTTGAACCCCAGTTTCTTCATCTGTAAAGTGAGACTCATAATACCTAATGTATAATACTATTGTGAAGATTAAATGAATATGTGGTGTGGAGGTGCTCAACAAGGTTAATAATTGATATTCTTACATTACATTAAATATTACTGTCTACCTCACACATGACATGTAAGCACAAGGAAGCTTCTGGGAAAAAGTTCAACGAATGGGTAGAGGGAGATCTGGAAACCCCATCATGGGCAGGTATTCTTGTCCTACCTGGCTTCTTATAAGTCACATAGATATAAAGGAATAACTCAATGACGTAGGTGATGACAGCTGCCCACCAGTTGATAACAAACATGACTGCACAGCACAAAACAGCTCCAAAAAGAGAGACCCACATATTGTAAATTCCATATGCAGGTCTCCATCCTGAAAGTAAAGAAAAGAATGTATAAAGAAAAATTACCACACAACTGCTATCATAGTACTGATTATTGGAATACAGGTAACATGTCCTTTCCTGGCATAAAGAATTAGAAATTTAAGGTTCGTTTTCTAATGGTGTTAATAGTTTTCTATGTTCTTGGGTCCCTGAACTATAAAAATGGAGGTTATACCAAATAGGATGCTGTAAAGTTTGGAAGACATTCAGTAGCTGGAAAATGTGTATTCATGGACCCCTCCATGCTTCCTGCCTGTCCGGATTATCTTCTCAAACTACTAAACCACAATCATCTAAAAACTGTGACATTAGTTTAAAGGGAGATAAGAGAGATAGAAGGAGTGGGTATAGTAGTTGAGGAGGAGGAACTTCCTGGTTGTGCAAGAAAGAGAAGGTTAAGACAATGGGATTTTTGATCATGGCAAAGACAAAATAGTCATGGAGTCAATCTTTTGAGCTCTTCCATTACCCCAAGAAGATAGTGCTTGCTCTTTCAGAAACAATAGTTCTTAAGAAAAGAAGGAGACATTTTTCTAGCAATGGCTTCCTAAACACAAGGCATCAATATGTCATGCATTTTGTAATGAAAATTGTTCTCACAGTTCTTATGCACAAAGGAGGTTTCCATGTTCTATTAGTTCCCTGAAACAAAAAAGCTAAGAGACAATATTATTAAGATGTGTCCTTCAAATCAGAGGACACATTTGGCCTATGGATGAAGGTTGTTTTAAATCTGGAGTTGCCAAAACACAACAGAACTTTAGAAGTCTTCCCAGGAGCAATTTCCTAAATGACCACAAGATGGAAATAGCACTTCAAGAACATCATTGGTAAGTTCCTTATTTCTTATTTCTCTTTGAGTGTGAGGGGGTGCAGGAAAAGGGGGAAGACTGAGGGAAGGGACAGAAAGAGAGAGAGAGAGAGGGAGGGGAGGAGAGGGAGAGGCAGGTGGCAAGGAGAGAGAGAAGGAAATTGAGATTTTTTTTCTGGGTTTGTGTTTCTGTGTCTCCTTCTATGTTTTTCTATTGTTCCTCTCTTTTTGCCTCTCCTTTCTATTCTTCCTTTTCACTCTTTCTCCTGGCAATTTGTATAACTTTGCCTTGTTTTTCAAAAATTGTCATGACATGGCATGGAACCACATATTCCCTTCTGTTAAAAGAATATAACAAAATGAAGCCAAAAGTTCTCAGTTATCTTTTGCAACTGTCTGACAGTAGGTTTCCAAAGAGACTCGAGATGACGGCAGGCTCTAAAAGAGCATTTAACACCTTTGATAGACTCCTCATGGTGAAGAACTTTCTGAGGGTGGGCAATGTGGATAGGCAAAGGAAACTCTATTGGCCAATGAAAGCAAAGAAAAGATGAGGGATGACTAGAAAGAGGAAAGTTCTTTGATGTAAAGTTTTGAGTGACTTTAAACCACAGCCCCAAAGTGCACTGGTGACATGGGCGTCAACACAATGGGGCCCCAACATGAATCTGCATTGTGTACACTCAGCGGATAATTATGGGAACTACTCAGCCTTCTCTTCTGCATCATGGGCAGGAAACAAATTGAAAGTAAGGAAGTCTCAAATATATACATTTATTCCACTTCTGTGGTCACTTTCACCCTGGAAATAAATAGTGGTGTTTTTCTACTGCTGAAATAAATGTGGTTTCTTCCGCAATGAATAATTTATTGCCACAGGAGAAAATTGACTTTCCGGTTGGTCAAAAAGGCCATTGCTCAAATGATTCTTTTTCTACTTCAGAAGTCATCTCCCAACTCACCAAAATAAAGTGGATTACGCTACCCACTAGGATATAAGAAAACATATAAACACAGATTGAACACTTTTCACTGACTTATTTCGTTTTATTGAGACAAACTAACTGCTTGCTTAGGCTTATTTTAGCTTTGAAATGTCAGCTTACCTGGAGATTTGGCATAAGAAGCATGGAAGCAGGAGAAATTAATAAGTGCATACGAGGCCAAGAAAAAGTTGGAGATGATAGGAGCAATGACATTCAGTTCCGCTGTAATAGAAGCAGAATTGAACATGTACATTTGAGTGATGAGATCGGGGGCTGAACAGCTGTTATAGCCAAGAAGCTTGACTTTATTTGGAAATTGAAAACATAGCTAGCATCTGTCAAAGTTTAAGAAGTTGGTGATTTTTTTCTTTGGGGCTATGTGTGTACTTTTAGCTATGGTTTCCATAAAGAGAGAATCATGAAAGCTAACCAATTAGAAAAATCAACAAGACCTCTACCTGTAAAACATTCACGTAGGACTACATGAGAGTGAGTAGAAGTTTTGGGAACTAAGCATATGACGAGCTCCTCTATACCTATTTTGGGTGCACCAAATTCAGTGTTCTGTGCTGTATATACAACCAAAAGGCTCTTCAGGGTGACAGATTAAATGCAAGTGCACCAGAAACTCACAACTGGAGATCTGTCTGCATCTACCCAATATGTTCTCTTTGACTCTCAGGACTTTTGCTACTCTTTATACCTTTCTACATCTCTAGAGAGTTCTACTTCTCAAGACTTGCCAAAAGAATGTCAACTTCAGAGCCTAAATATCCAGTATGATTTAATCCCAGCTGGATTATTTATTGTGTGATATAAGAAAAAAAAAGAGATATCCTCATTAATTTTACATTCAGACATCTATCAACCTCAATGGTGCAACCGTAGGCGTGGTTCTAGTACATAAAAGCCAGAAAGGAAATAGGCAAACACTGCTGCTATAAAGTTGTATGTGGAGCAAATCCATGTTGTTCTGAAAGAATGATTTTGCAGAATATAGCTTGATTTATACAACAATTTTAAAACTGTGGCTGTGTGATCATGTCGATGCAGCAGAGGGCAATTCTTTGAGGTCTTAAAGGTTAAACTACATAATGGAAACATCTCCATATGTAATCACATTTTATTTAATTTCTTAAAAATCTAACAAATAGAGAGAGTTATATATTCCCTTCTCCAGCCTCATAGAAATCTTATGAGGATTCATTCATTAGAGTCATTTCGTGGGTTTTATAAGTAATGATAAGGCACCCTCATCATCATCATGGTGTGAGGAAGCCTCTGCATGCCTGTCGGCCCCTTGGCAACCTCGCTTCTTGTTCCTTTTCCTCTGATATGCTCACCAGCAAAGGTGGGGCCTTAGGGAGCAGTGAGGAATGTGCAGTCTATCGTTGATGAATGTGCCTTTGTAAGATCATGAAGCAGTTTCTATATTGCTTGGGGAGAGGAAGCCAAGATTGTAGTGTAGGTAAGTGGTTTTCAGATATTAATGGTCTACCTGTCTTTTGAGGAGCGTGTAAAATACAGATTCCTTATCCTCAGAGAGTTTGAGTTGTAACTTTGGAGTCAAGCCTGAAACACCTGCACTTTCACAAACACCCTGGTGATTCTGAGATGATGGTCAATGAACTACATTTTGAGAAACACTGACATAGACAATTCATTTCTGCTAGCTGCTAGTCTAGCTGATATAGCAGTGTGGGAAACTCTCAGTTAGATAACATCACATTGGCTTAAGGATTTAGTTGCATTTGGCTGGACCGGTTTCTAACATCCAGATTCAAAGAACAGATTAAAGTCCAGTCTGCATCAAGTTCATCAAAGGGTGTTACACACAAGGATTTCTCATTTCCTTCTTAGACAGACTACAATATTCCCAAATGGGATCTTAAACATAAAACAGATAATTTCTTAAACTGAAAGGAAAAGCCTAAGTAATCAGAAGAATTCTCTGGCTTTCAGTAAGAACAAGAAAACTACAAACCAATAAGAATAAATGCCATGGCTATCACAAAAGTGAGAAAATATCCTCTCAGGGGCTCATTGTTTCTCCCATATCCCTTTGCAAAGAACTGCAGGCCTTTGAAGATGTTGTCCTTGCACAAAGCCTAATGGAAAAGAAGAGAAGACATTTGTCATTTATATCTATGCACAGTCATTTTCTCTACATGATTCAAACAGGAAGATTTGGGGAAAGTTTAAGTGATACACAATATGAGGCACAAGTTAACACTGCAGTATATCATTCTTTATATTATTTGAATTGATCTTGACTATGTGGCGGACATAGTGCTTGAGCCAGATGCAAACATTAACTGTTTCAGAAAATGATGGAAAATGATTGCTGGCAAGAATATGTGTTTCAGTTTGATCCACATGCAGTGGAAGCAGAAATAGGGGAAAACACAAGCTCTGATGCCTGTATTACCTGGAACACTTTGGGTGCGCTGACGAGGGAGGCCAGGGCAGAGGAAAGTGTCGCTGAAAAGATCCCAGCAGTGATGAGAGGCCCAAATCCTGACACCATGCTCATGACCTTGAGGAGAGAGGTTCAGGTAAGGACAATCATCCAACCCATAATTTTAAAAATTAGCCAAATTTTAATGCTTATGCTTTCCTCCCTACTTTCTGTGATTTGAAATCTTTTATAAGCTAATTCCTTCGGAGTTTTGTTTTTCTCCCTGCTTCATTCTCAATTTCTTAATATTTATTTATTTTTTCAAAATGGAAATGGTCTTCTTTTGTTATTTGTAAAATACCACTCACCACAATATATTTAGGATATGTTGGAAAAAATTAAGAATGAAATGGTTTCAAAGATTTTGACAGCATTTTCCCCTTGTGATTTTAGTGGCCATATGTTTCTTTGATGATGGGAAAATTCTACTCACAGAAAGTGGTATTTTAATAAGGTTTTGGAGGGGCTCAGCTGTTTCCCAGTCTTTTTTTTTTTAAAGAGGCAGTAGCTTTTCTTCCTGCTCATAGAGGTTTTTCAAACCTTTGCTTTTCCTGTGCACATTAAACATAATTTTAGATCTGAGACATGAGATTCTAGCACGCTAAGTCAAATTTTGAAATAATGACTTCAGCAGTTAATTCCTTTGTGTTGGTTGTTAAAATAGATGAATGAAGACTTCACAGCACACTTACTTCTCTCTCCTCAACAATCATGCAGACAAATTAATATGTCCTACAATTTTCCAACTTCCCTTGTTCCTGCCCCTCATTTTCTTCCCCCTCTGCCACTCACAATTCTCCTTTGCCCTGGTCTTCCAGGTCCTCTAGGGCCACTTCAGAGACTTTGTCTAAGCCAATGTCCATGCCTGAAATGCCTTCCAAGTGCTAACTAATCTATGCTTCTCCTTCTGCCATGACATTTTGCATAATTGATTAGAAGACACATAGTGCCAGGTGGTGTTCCCTCCCTGATGACGCAATTTATACCACTGCCCATTTTCTCCCCACCACAGTAAATGTAACCACAGGACTTGCTATGACACAAGGCCTGCATGCTTTCCTTCTCTCGAACACAAATTGGTCTTTGCTGAATTCAAATCTCTTAATAATTGATCTGTTGCCTATTCAGATGTCTTAAAATGAAAAGAAGAACAATAAAGTTTTTTGGTAGTTTATACCTGGAAATTGTTCATCAGCCCATACTGACATGGTTCATGTTGACATCTTGAGAAGTCATAGCCCAATCCACAGGCTGCAGACCCATTGCAGTTTATCCCAGAAGTGATGGTGTCATTCATGCTTCCGGTAGCATCTCGGACCACACAGGATGCTGTGGAAACAATTCGGCTTGTCATTTCTTTGGAGTAGTTTTATTCCTTTAGGGTTTTCTTCTGAAAACATACTTAGTTGACTGAGTCTGGACAGGTCTGTCCCTAACTTGCACTCAACTGTCAATTGTTCTTGGGACATGGTCCTGGGAGTGCCTCTGTCTGTAAAAGGCTACCATTTTGACTGCTTTGGGTGGTCCTAGCTCTCTAGGGCTACTTTAAGAGACTTTCTGATCACAAAATATGTGTGTCAGTGCTTTGCTTCTGGTATGTACTCAGTTCATTTTTCTGGCTTAGGACTATGACTACACATTTTTCAAGTAAAAGGATATATTTTCTTATCTGTGAGAGAACCGAGGGAAGACACTAGAATTCTAGTAATTAAGAGAATGGAGGCTTTCTTCCCCAATTTTTATTACAGTCCTGTTATTCATTATTATTTCCAAGGTGAATATTCAAAGGGGTGTCTTGAAGTATCCCTGCTCTGAGTATACTTTAACTTGGTCAGTTCAACCCCTTCCATTACATTCCCTTATCCCTTCCCTCCTACTCCCTATTTTTTCAACAGCTTTCAATATACATCATTTTATCTTCTGCCTGTACAGATGTGGAGAATGGAGCCTTTGTTTTCAAATAATTCCTTGTGTAATTTTTATTTTTGTTTTTTATTGTTGTGTTGGGTGGGGGATACATTGTGGCATTTACAAAAATTCTTACAATGTATCAAATATATCATACTTGAATTCACTCCCTCCACCATTCTCCTTTATCCACCCCCATCCCTGGAATAATTCCAACAGGTATCGTTTTTGCATTTACATACATGTGTACACAGTATTTGCACCATATTCACCTCTTGCATAGTTTTAAAAATAGAGTTATATATTATATATAATTTAATTGTTTAGATAATAAACAGTGGTGTTTTATGATAAAATACTAAGAGTTCCTATTTGACCATCAATATTAATGAATTCATTGACTATTTTTGTCATTTTATATTATAAACATCTTTGTGCACAAACTTTTTCTTTTGCATTTCAAAATTTTTTCTCGGATATAGTCTCAGAAAGAGAGTGAACATGTTAAAAACTCAGTATATATTTTAATTATTGACTTTAAGCTTTTCTGTCTATAATCATTATATATTGGATTGGTTATTGAAATATATGAATATGCATTTAAAATATACATAAGCATTTAACTACAAAGGACAAATTCTTTACAAATTAAACACCAACCAATAAAACTGTTCAGTTTGCTTTTCAAACTCTACCAGGGTGGGTTCTCATTTCTTGCTAATAGCTTTAGGATAGATCCCAGAAATAGGAACTAATGGGAATCTTCAGTCTTATTCATGGAATTCACATTCTTTGAATTTGGGAAAGACTTAAAAATCAGAATCTTGAGTTACTTACAATAATCAGTGCCATGATAAAAATTATTTTTTTTCATATCCCTGAGAGGTGGCCTGACAGCCTCTGCTTCAACATTTGGAATTATGGCTGTTGATTGCCTTGAAAAATTATCCATTCTATATTTTACCTTTTTTCATTGTTCATTTATGTCCAACCAACTTTTATATGAATCATGTATTTTATTTTTTGCATAATAGATGTCTCCAAATTCCCATGAGGCTAGGATTTGAGTCATAATTTACAGTAATGACAGGACATTGACATGACTGTTTGTCCCCTGCACAAGGAAAAGTACAGAAACGCAGATTTTTCCACCCATGGGGGAAAAACTAGAAGAATCTCTGAAATGAGATCTATAACTTTGCTCATTCCCTGTGTCTGAAAAAGAAAAATCACTTGGGAAATGTAAATTCAGGTGGTTTCAATGTCATTTAAAAAGTGTTGATTTTCTAAAACATTGGAACAAAATCTCTTCACATGCCACAATAATACATTTAATGACCTCATTCAGTTTCCTCAACTAAGAGGCAGTAAGATAAGAATTTAAGTTTTTTTTTTTAATCTTTGCTTTTATTTTCCTTTTTTTCTCTAGAAAACAAGACATATATGCACTCTTTCAGGTTCTCTTATAGCAAGCAGAAGATAGCTGGGATGTACCCTTTGGTAAAATGACCCTCAGGTTTCCATAGTCAGTCAATCTGAATTTGGATTTCTTATTGTGCACAGAAAAGGGTTTTCTTCTCTGCATAGTGGGAAACCACATTTTTTCCTTTCCTACTGTGTCATAAGCATGCGGTAGTCACCAATCAGTAGGAGGCGTAGCTGCAGGTTGCAGATGGAACCCAAGTGAGCCTCAAGGACAGCAAGAAAATACATACATTTTCTGCAAACTGAGCAATTTTGGGACTGGCTTCCCATACTCCCAGGTACTGGGTCTTGTTTTGATTTTCTGCCAAATGTGACAATGACATTCCCGTATTAGGGATAGCAGTGCAAGGATAAGATATTGTCATCAATTCCTCATCTTTCAAAATGTCCTAATTCTAAGTTTTGGTTTTGGTTTGGTTTGATTTTTTGCTTCTTTGCTCTGCTGTGTTCCTTGCCTGCTTCCTAGGACAAGGCAGGCAGGTGCTAAGAATGATGGCTTTTGGACTCATCACTGAGAGTGGCAAAACAAGTCTCTCTGTAGGCTCAGGCAGAATCACAATCTGATTAGCTCTATTCTAGCGCTGATCCTGAGATGCCCGCATAATAGCTTAATTCATTAAAACCCCTTAAAGGATCCAAATCACTGACATTAAGGACATTGAAAGAAATTAAAGTTGCTATCTTTACAAACAAAATAAACAAAAAGAAAAACTTTCTACTTACTTATGTTTTCATTGAGAGCCCACTAGACATGAAGAATGACTTCACATGAGAGACACAAACTTACCTACACAAATAGCAACCCCTAAATAGGCAACAGTGGTGATGAAAATGGCCAGCATGGTTCCTCTGGGGATGGCATCTTGGGGATCCTTTGAAAAAATAATATGGAGGATAAAGAAAAGTAGAATAATAAACCTAGATTGCTTGGCATTATTTCTGTATTTTCAAATTTCTACCCTTCCTAAGGCAAATTCTAAAGAAACTATCAAACCAATAGCAAATTAGTGAGCTTGAATTCTTTTTGAACAAAGACAAAGTGTTTAGAATGAATAATGAAATCTGTAAAACTTTGTGTCTAAAAACCACTGTTTAGGCAAGAGATTTCATAGAAATTTCATAAGTAGTTTACTTACCAAAGCCTCTCCCTTCCCTTTGTCTCCTGTGAATTTTTTGTAGGTGTATCAAATCTCAAAATGTTAGAGGAAAACATAAAACATAGCTGGCATGTTGACAATATCTGTGCATGTGTATTTGTCTTATGCTTACTTTAGGCTTGCCTTAAAAAAAATTTTCTGACTGAACAAAAAGGATGATTACTAAATCCTCTAGTCCCTAACATTCCTTGTTTGGAATCTAGTTCAGGAATGATTGCAGTGGAGATGTTTAATTTCCATAAGCAAGCATAAAGAAAGAGGCAAATCAAGATTATACCAGAAAATGGGCTTTCTTCTTGCTTATAAATTTATATACATTAACTGAGTTGAGTTCACTTCATATTTAATTCACCATTTTTTATCCAATGGGGGGGCTAAAATCATATTAAATCAATTTCCAAGCAGCATATTGAATTATATTCAATTCAATTTAACAGGGATTATTAAATAGAGATTTTAATGCACTCATTGCTTATACAGGACAGTACCTGATGCACACAGTCAATAAATATTGAATTAAGGGAAGTACAATCCCAGTAGGCATTAGTTTCCACTAGAGGACATGGGACTCATCAATACAGATAAGCAATCAATACAATGAAACAAAGCTCCTTTTTTTCTTGTTTTGGTACTGGGGTTAGAACTCAGGTTAGCACCTTCATGCTTCCTAAGCAGGCACTGTACTACTTGAGCCATCCCTCCAGTTCTTTTTGCTCTGGTTATTTTGGAGATAGGAGCTCTCTTTTTGCCCAGGCTAACCTGGTCTATAATCCTTCTATTTTATACTTTCCACCATAGCTGAAATGACAGGAGTACACCACCAGGCCTAGATCTGTTGAGGTGGGGATCTCATGAACATTTTTGCTGGGGCTGGTCTAGAACTGTGGTTCTCCTGATCTCAGTTTTCCAAGTAGTTAGGATTATAGGTGTGAGTACTGGCTGAGAGTTTCTTTTCTTTTTTTTAACTTAAATATGTTGGTCTAGTTCATCAAAAAGGCCACTCTTCTTTTCTTTTCTTAGTGTGACCTGTGTCCAATAATATTACTACATTCGTTTTAGCTCTATAATCTGCATATGAGGGAGAACATGCGATTTTTGGCCTTTTGAGCCTGGCTAACTTCGCTTAAGATGATGTTCTCCAGTTCCATCCATTTACCTGTGAATGTCAAAATTTCATTCTCCTTTGTGGCTGAATAAAATTCCATTGTGTATAAATACCACAATTTCTTAATCTATTCGTCGGTAGTTTCAAAGAGAACAAGAGAGTGGAACAGGTTCTGCCTGGAGGCGGCAGGGGTGGGGGGGAAGGGGGATGAGGAATGGGAGGGGGGACAGGGGGAGGAGGGAGGCAGGAAGGGGAAGGTGGTCCAAACAATGTATACACATAGTAAGTAAATGCAAAAATGATACCTGTTGAGACTGTTCTGGGAACTGGGGGAGAGGGGATGAAAGAGAGCAGTCAAGGGGGTGAATTCAAATATGATATATATGATACATTGTAAGAACTTTTGCAAATACTCCGGTATGCATAATAACAATAGGCCACTTTTGGTGAATGCAGACTCAATCTGACCACTGAGATCATAACTTAACCAAGTGAACCTGCCCCCACAGTGGAGTAAGTTAGTCCTATGCAGCCACTCTGTTACCACTAATCTCCTGCCCCCAACTCATCTAAGAATACCTGCAGCTAGGGTTTGCTCTGATGCATCCTTGTCCAGCTTCTTCCTTCCAAACTATTGTCCCCAAAGTCAATGTGTCAGGTGTGTGCAATGGGACAGCTCATGGAAAGAAGAGGAAGGCTGCTTTGGCTGTAATGGCCACACTCAATCTCCCAATTCATATTAATTTTCAAATTTTATTTTATAGACTAAGAATTTCTTAGGATCTGGATGAAATGAGAATGGCTTAAGTGGGGAAGAAAGGAAATATATATAAGGATAAGAGGTGGGAAGATGTAAGGCAGTCTTGTATCTTAAACACAAAACTTTATTTACAACTATCTACTATAAGCTCTAAAATTAGTTAACAGAAGTTACATGAGAGTCAAACTTGACCCTTAGATATTGACATATAAATCATAATCCCAATGTATTAAAATATGATCCTATAGGATCAGAAAAAAATGGAATTTTCTTGTCTTGCTACCCATAGACTGGGCTTGGGATGTTAACACATTCATAGTTTTTACTCTAAATGTTGATTTCCTCTTCCAGCAATAATCTAAAATTTAACCTTTTTCTACCTTCCTTCTTTAAACATTATGCTTTTCTAAGGACAGAAAACAAACTACCTGTTAGGTTGCTGCTTTTGGGGTATGTCAGCCACATAATTTTGCATGTCTGAAATCATATCTTAACTCTGTTAATCAGACTTAAGTATTTCCCAAATCTTCTCCAAGGTACAGATCTACAGATTATCTGTTAATGTGTTAGCAAACAGAACGTTTGGGATGGGACCCTTGAAGCCTCCCTTTGTGCCAACTTTTAGTAGCTGATTCCATTCTTACTAGTAATAATTTGCATGTCTCTGTTTTCCTGAGCACTATCTTGGACCTCCTCTCTTACCTCTTGCATCTACCTGGTGATTCGTCCATGCTATGGGGTCCGGTCTCATCATCCCTCCTTACCAGAGTTCCAGACTCATCAATCTAGCTGCCCACCAGACATCTGTGCTCTGATGTCCTTCTGCCATTTTTAACTTCAATGGTCAAGTCTGAGCTTCCTTTACCTCATTTACTATGCCATGAAATCAATTTAATGGGTTACAACCACTGTTAATACAATAGAACTGGTGTGAATATATGTAAATACAATGCTGAACAAAGAACAATGTGGGGAAATTTTTCTAAATGTGAACTTGGCTGTGATGTATAATGTTTTCTTATTGTGGATTGTATTAAAAGACATTCTTTCTATATCTGCTCCTGACTAACAAAAACTGACCTCTTTGGTCCTTTTCCACTGCATGGCCTTAATTCAGGCACTCAGTATTGACTGAGCATTTGATACAAACTTGTTTTTAAGAAGTTTAAGGAGAGCAGAAATTTAAATTAGTGACTTCTGGTGTTTTTCCAGTTGCTGAAAAACCAGAAGTTCAACATCCATAGCTTAATTTCACTAGGCAGTAATACTTACTACTTGAATCATTTTAAACAAGTTTCTTGACTTTTATGAGCTTCTGCCATTATCTCTGCTCAAGAATTTACCAAGCTATATGTTCACTCACTCAATAAATACTTATCAAAGCCTTACTGAGAATAAAGCAATAAATAAAATCAAAGGCAAAGTCACTGCTTTCATGGAGTTTTATTTTATGGAGCACCTTTTGCTAAGTCTCTCCAACAGCTGCTTCTTCCTGCCTTGTAAGACTTTCTAGCTTCGATGGAGTTTCTCCAGTTGAAGTGTAAGAGACTCCTCACAGTTCTCAGTTTCCTTGCTTGACTATTCTTGTCCTCTCTCCCTGAAATTGCTGTGTATTTCCTCACCAATAATTAGCATCTAGCCTTTGCTTTAAGTTCATGTTCAAAACTACCTCTTGGAGGAAGGCATCTAACTGATTATTTGTTACCTGTTTTTATTTCTCAATCCACTTGGACAGTACATATGTTTTCCACTATACGAATCTCCTGATAACTCTTATTTTCTAAAGCCAATTATAAATTTATTCAGGTAAAACCTATGTATTCTCTCTCTCTCTCTCTGAAAAAGATGCCTTATTTCATCTAACACTTACCCATTCACCCTCACTTTCATCCTTTTAGTACTAGAATCTCCTCAAATTTTATCTGGGAATGTGGCTGACTATATTTCCTAGCCTCTTTTGCAACTAGGTAAGGTCATAAAATTAAACTGATTAATCAGATGTCATCAGAAGTCATACATGCAAGTTCCAGAAATTTCTTGCCTTCTACTTCTTTATTCTCCTTCCTAGGAACTGGAACATAACCTTGGAAGTGATCAGTTGCCTTGGACCTTGCAGATGAAGACAAACCTAACTTAAGAGTGAAACAGGAGAGGGCATCTGAGTTCCTGGCTGCCTTTTGAAGCATACCTTCCTTATTTTGTTGGATGGTCTGTCAGTTTGAATTTTTATGCCCTACAAAAATAAACTTCTATCTTGTTTCGGCCACTGTTAGTGGTATTTCATAAGACATTCATACCAATATCCTAACTAATAGTCCTGATATTATTTAACATAGACTAATATGAAGAGAGTACTAAAAATGATATGATTTTTTGTGTTTTGTTTTGCTTTTTCTCCAGTGTTCCATGTTCTCATTTATTGTGGTTATTAAAATAAAAGGGGTGCTTCTGATAGTTTCTCCCTGAACTATATTTACTTTGTAAGAAAGATGACATACTGTCAACCTACTCTATTCTTCTGATATCATTGAATATGGCTTTTGGAGAACTATCTGAAATAAGAATCCAAGCAACATTAAAAGAGAGAACTTGGAAGTAACCAGGAAATTCTGCAGAAATCATTTTGAGTCTGTAGGGAAATATGGTTACATCCAATCTCCTTAGCACCTGGTGCTTACCATCAACTGTACTGCCTGCCACCTCCTAGGTCTGCAAAACAGAGCAAACATCATACCTCCAAGTCTCCGGAGATGTTGGCACCAGCGAGAATCCCAGTAGCTGCTGGGAAAAAAATGGCAAATACAGAGAAGAAGCCTTCACCCTTTGTGAAGCTTGGCCCAAAATTTTCTGCAAATATTGAAGCTGCAACACAAATTAAAAGAAAATCATGTAGATTTTTGTTACAGAGTAGAAGATTAAGTTCTTTGGTTTCTGTATTTCTAAATGCAAATACACCCCTTGATTCTAACTGGAATGAACATGGAGATGGCGATACCCTGATGAAACTTATGTTACTATTCCCCAAGAGCCAAAATATATATCATGTGGTTTTAGATTTCTGGGACAGCTCTGAAAAGTCATTAATTTTTGTGCCAACAGAGACTCAAGCTGCCTGACTTCTTTGAATCTAGACGAGATTGAAGAAAAGATGAAGAATTCTTTCATGACCATGTGTGTCCTTACAAATATACTCAACGTGCATTCATGCCCCCTACAGCTACATTCTCACATGCATAAATACTGAAAGCAATAAACACTGTTTTACATGCTTTTGGAAAATTGTAGGACAACTTTGTAGATTTGGCTACTCTAAAATTTTGCTGCTAATTTTCTAATCTCTTTGCTCCTTGCTCCCAAGAGTTGGATTCTAGATCTTTATACCAAATTCTCATGGATGGGAGAATACTATGGTGAGGAGCTTTGTTCATAAAATAATACTATCCCTCAGGTTGTCACCAAGTTAATTAAGCAAAAAGGAAACAATCTAGAAGAAAAACAGAAGGGAAAAAAGAAAGGGAGGAAGAAAAATGAGCAAAAGACTTTGGGGTGCAAAAAAGAAAAAAGTTTAAAATATCAGAAAAATGTAGTTGAAGTGGTTAAGAAGGAAAAGACAGAAATGAAAATGATATTAACATCTAAAGCAAACAAGACAATCCTCATAGAGAGAAAGGATCATGAAAAAAGAAGTGATACGATTTTACAAAATGTGTATGTGTTGGGGGAAGAAACAAATACAACTGAATTTATATCAATATAATATATAAGATGTTTATATAAGATATAATATTGTATAAAATGTTACATTTTATATTATAACTTCATACAATATTATATAAAATGTATTTGTATACTGTTTATAATGCTATATAAAAGCTTTAATCTTTATATAAAGTATATGAAAAATATTTTATAGCTATTATAATATATAGAAATATATTTATACATACACACACACACATATATATAAAACCTCTGCAGTGTATTCTTGAGTAAAATAGAATGGAAAGGTAGGAAAGAGTGGGATGGAGTAGATAAGGAGAGAAAGAAGCTAAATTCCATGCCTTGTGATGTTATCACAGGATGCTACACAAATAACTCCTATCATCTTTTATGCTTAAAAACTTGACAGTGACACATAACTAGGTAATACCATCACAAGGTAAAGTGTCAAAAAGTCCACCAGGAAGACGAAAATGACTTTGCTTGACTTTAGTGCTCTGCAGTGTTCGATCAAATTGTTCAAGCTATATTCTTTCTCTCCAACATATACTCTCTATTCTTAAGGCAGTGGTAACTTGCCCAGTATTTTAAGGTTTACACAGAATGTTTACATCTGCTATCTTATATATTTTCCAGAATTCTCTTAGGAAATTATTATTATCCTTCACACTTTAGTAGGAAAATCAGACTCCAGTACGTTACATGATCTGTCAAGCTGAGAAATGGGTTTAGAACCAATCCTGTTTCTCCTGAAACCAACTACAGGCTCTTTCCTGGACCACACTGGAATTCTGGTTTGAGTTGACGGGAATGGGGATGAGCAGAACAATGAAGAACCATTGAGAAGCAACTAATTTGCCACACATACCTTGGTAATTAAAGAAGCCTCTGGACTGCTTCTCATTGTTGGATGGAATGACAGTTCCAATGAAGAAGTTTGCAATAGCAATTAGGAGAATTATCAGGAGAATCACTTGAGCCTGGCAAAGTGCAAGGAGATCAAATTACATGTATTTAACAAGTTGTGTGTCCACTGGAGAAGGACAATCTGATAATTCTATTTAAGACTCTGCTACCCAACCTAGGTAATAAGTGCATCCTCTGGAATAGCACACTAATAAGCCTTATTCTGCCTGGATGTAGATGCTACAGTTTCAAGAATAGTGTGTGCTTGGGTACTTGAAGATAGCATCTCAAGAATATCTTTTTTTATTTTTTTAGAATTTTTCTTTTATTCATATGTGCATACAATGTTTGGGTCATTTCTCCCCTCTTCCCCCCGGCCCTCCCTTACTTGCCCCCTGCACCCTCCCTCTCCCCCCATACCCCCTCGCTACCAGGCAGAAACTATTTTGCCCTTATCTCTAATTTTGTTGAAGAGAGAGTATAAGCAATAATAGCAAGGACCAAGGGATTTTGCTAGTTGAGATAAGGATAGCTATACAGGGAGTTGACTTGCATTGCTTTCCTGTACATGTGTGTTACCTTCTAAATTAATTCTTCTCGAACTAACCTTTTCTCTAGTTCCTGGTCCCCTTCTCCTATTGGCCTCTGTCACTTTAAAGTTTCTGCATTAGTTTCTCTGCATTGAGGGCAACAAATGCTATCTAGTTTTTTTGGTGTCTTACCTATCCTCATCATACCTCCCTTGTGTGCTCTTGATTTATCATGTGATCAAAGTCCAATCCCCTTGTTGTGTTTGCCCTTGATCTAATGTCTGCATATGAGGGAGAACATATGATTTTTGGTGTTTTGGGCCAGGCTAACCTCACTCAGAATGATGTTCTCCAGTTCCATCCATTTACCAGCAAATGATAACATTTCATTCTTCTTCATGGCTGCATAAAATTCCATTGTGTATAAATACCACATTTTCTTAATCCATTCGTCAGTGGTGGGGCATCTTGGCTGTTTCCATAACTTGGCTATTGTGAATAGTGCTGCAATAAACATGGGTGTGCAAATGCTTCTGGAGTAACTTGTCTCACATTCTTTTGGGTATATCCCCAAGAGTGGTGTTGTTGGATCATATGGTACATCTATGTTTAGATTTTTAAGAAGCCTCCAAATTTTTTTCCAGAGTGGTTGTACTAGTTTGCATTCACACCAGCAGTGTAAAAGGCTTCCTTTTTCCCCATATCCTTGCCAACACCTGTTGTTAGTGGTGTTGTTTATGATGGCTATTCTAACGGGTGAGGTGGAATCTTAGTGTGGTTTTGATTTGCATTTCATTTATTACTAGAGATGGTGAGCATTTTTTCATGTGTTTTTTTGGCCATTTGAATTTCTTCTTTTGAGAAAGTTGTGTTTAGTTCACTTGCCCATTTCTTTATTGGTTCATTAATTTTGGGAGAGTTTAGTTTTTTGAGTTCCCGATATATTCTGGTTATCCTTTGTCTGATGTGTAGCTGGCAAATATTTTCTCCCACTCTATGGGTGGTCTCTTCAATTTAGAGACCATTTCTTTTGACAGAAGCTTTTTTTTTATGAAGTCCTTATCTATGCTATTTTAGTTGCTGAGCTGCTGGGGTTCCATTGAGAAAGTCTTGCCTATACTATTAGTTCAAAGTATTCTTACTACTTTCTTACCTCTGCTACTTTAGCAAGTCTTTTCTGGGGTCTGATATTAAGATCCTTAATCCATTTTGATTGATATTGGTATAGGGTGATAAGCAGGATTAGTTTCAGTTTTTGCAGACTGCTAACCAGTTTCTCGCAGTTTTTTGTGAAGAGGCTGTCTTTTCTCCATCATATATTTTTACGCTTTGTCAAAGACAAGTTGGTTATAGTTGTGTGGGCTTCATATTGTGTCCTCTATTCTGTTCCACTGGTCTTCATGTTTGTTTTTGTGCCAGTAACATGCTGTTTTTATTGCTATTGCTTTGTAATATAGTTTGAAGTCAGGTATCGTGATACCTCCAGCGTTGTTCTTTTCACTGAGTATTGCCTTGGCTATTCGTCGCCTCTCGTGTTTCCATATAAATTTCACAGTAGATTTTTCAATCTCTTTGATGAATGTCATTGGGATTTTGATGGGAATTGCATTAAACATATACATTGCTTTTGGGAGTATAGAAATTTTTACTATGTGGATTCTACCAATCAATGAGCATGGGAGATCTCTCCACTTTCTATAGTATTCCTCAATCTCTTCAGAAGTTTATAGTTTTCCTTGTAGAGGTCATTCACATCCTTTGTTAGGTTTACACCTAGGTATTTGATTTTTTTTGAGGCTATTGTAAATGGAATTGTTTTCATACATTCTTCTTCAGTTTGTTCATTATTAGTGTATAGAAATGCTAATGATTTTTCTATGTTGATTTTATACCCTGCTACCTTGCTATAGCTGTTGATGGTGTCTAGGAGCTTTTAAGTAGAGTTTTTTGGGTCTTTAAGGTATAGGATCATATTATCTGCAAATAGGGATATTTTGACAGTTTTCAAGAACATCTTAAGTAGCAGGTAGTCCCCAATGTTCTCAGGAATGTAAGTGGAGCCAAAAATTATGACATGTGTATGCTTAAGTCCTTTCTTGGGCAGAACATCTATGGTCTCTTTCTTTTCCTGCTTGCAGAAGGAGTACCAGAACATAGAATGGCTCACAGAATCCCTGGGATGCCTAGGACACAAGATCTCAGGCTGCCAGTGTAGCTCAAAGTTGACTGGCCAAACAGTCCTCCTTCCATCCTTCCAACATTTTAAACTGTGTACTTGGCATTACTATATACTCTTCCCTCTATCTGGGTCTCACTTCACCCTACTTTGTTTGGAGCAATTTTCTTCTTCTCATCTTTAAGTCTCACTAAGAAGAAGAGACTTAAAGAGAGGCCTTTCCTCACTACTTGGTCTAATTAATAGCAATCAATGTTCACTGAGGTCTTATAATATAACATGCAGCTTTAAATTTTCCTGTACTCTTTCCAGTAAATAATACGACAGCCCTATGAAGTAGGTAATGATATTATCCCTATTTTAAAGATAAAGAAACTGAAGCATAGAGGGGTTAATAATTTACACAAAGTGACAGATACAGAAACCAGGTTCAAATCTAACCAAAGAGCTGGAGCTTTAAATACTGACTTTCATCACCACTGAACTACTTGGCCTCTCTTATGGAATAAAGTAATTGAAAGCAGCAGGTGTCCCTAGTTATTGTCTTTTTTTTTCTGCTTTGGCACTTGGAATCAAACCCAGGGCCTTACACATGGTAGGTATGAGCTCTACCACTGAGCTGTATTCTCAACCCCCCCTATTCCTTTCTATCTCAGTGTCATGTTTATTTCCCTCATAGTTCTTTTCACAAGTCACCATCTTATATTTATTTCTCTTTTTACCTGTTTACTATTCATCTACCTGTAAGACCATAGGCATTGTGCCTATTTGGGACACAACCGAACATCTAGCATCTTGCAAAATGACCAGCAGGTGGTAAAGGTATTTTGTTAATTTTTGTTTAATGTGGATACATAGTCCACAATCAATGCCATATAGGAATGTTTTCTATTGCTTCATATAGGTGGGATGCTTTGGGTTTCTTTTCATTTCTGGTGACCACTTGAGATCTAGTTATTACATCTCCAGGCATGGAGAATCATTTCCAATCATCCTGATTACTGCAGAGTTACCAAAGAAGCAAAAGACATGCTCCCCATCATTCAAAAATTTATCATCTGTTTTGCTGCTAGTTAAATCCAGACATTTTCTGGTTTCAAAGCCTATGACACCATTACATTTTCTAGTGAAGTATTGGGTTTCAGAGGACATAATAGTTCTGTCTCTGTCACCTTCTCCTAACACACTCATCATATCTTTGGGGCTTCTGCATTCATAGGACAGCTTGAAAGGGAGTAACAGCATGAAATTGAGACATAGACTTCCAATGTTCACTGTTGCTGGGATCATAGGGGTCTGTGCATGAAGATGGCAGCAATCCTGGTGGCTGTGTAACTGTGATAACAAGACTCTAAAGGACAAAATCCAGAGGACTCAGACTTGCGTGCTTTGTGGACTTGAGGCTTCACATAGCCCTAACTTGCTCCTTTTACTATAACCAACAGTAATAGCAATTCTTTTTGAATATGGGGAGGTTCCTTCTAGCCCTGTAATTTATCCAGGACCTGAGCAGCAATTGTTGATAAAATCATTTTGAGAAATTCACCTTTGCTTCCCATTCCATTCCAGCTACTGAAATTCCTAGAAGAATCACCACCGTGATGGAGCCTATTATCCGGATGTCATTGGTTGGATCCACCATCATTGAGTCACTCTCCTGGGGGCGGGGAGGGGAAATCACTAAAATGATTAGAGATACAGCTTTTTGCACATAGGTCTTGTAACATTTAAGAAGAAGAAAAGGTACTGCCTGGAGTCATGTAAGATAATGGGAAAACAAAGTGCTCATAAATTTGAGAGATAAAGAACATAGCATTATATTTTTTTTCTTGTGAAAATAGAAAAACCTTTGATAGCCAAGGTTAGGAGCTGGAAAACTTGAGAGATTCATTCTAGTCACTGCTTTTGAAGCACAGAGTGAAAGTATGCATAAATACATATTGTGTTTTGTTTCAAAAGGACTAGTTATTCTTGTGTCAAGGGGAATTCTAGAGGAATAAAAATGAATGGTTTACAATGTGAGTATTAGAAAATAAGTGCTGTTCTATTTAAGAGCAGACTATACAAACCTGATAATGCATCTCTTGAAGATAATATACCTTAAGAAGTACACAATATGCTCATTTATGCATCTGATTTTCTTTTACCAATTGGCTTCAGTGAGCTCTATTACTACCATAAAAGGAAGACTAGAAGGTACTTCATATACCAGCTAATTAATGTGCTTGATTAGGCCATCCTGGGAGAGGGGGCACCCTAACAGAAACGCCTAGTTTTCTGCATTGAGTTATTCTCATAGGGTTCTTTTGTTTTGTTTTGTTTTTATTATTTTTTGGCAGTACTGGGGGTTGAACTCAGAATCTCATGGTTGCTGGGCAGGTGGTTAGTTTACCACTTGAGACACACCCCCAGCCCTTTTTGTGTTGGTAATTTTTGAAATAGGGTTTCATTTTATGCTGGGCTGTCCTAGAACCCAATCCTCCTATTTGTGCTTCCCCAAGTAGCTGGGATGACAGACACATGCCACCACGTCCAGCCATTGATTGAGATGGTGATCTCAGATGGTGTTTTGCCAGGGCTGGCTTCGAATCACAATCCTTCCTATCTTTGCCTCCCAAGTAGCTAGGATCACATATAGGCATGAGTCACTGTGCCTGGCTGAGTTATTCTCAGGTTTGAACTTTTCCTTTAAAAATCTTTAATAAGACAATAGCAATATGACTGTTTGAAAACAATACCCATTATCTATCTATTGTTTTATATTTTATACAATACTTCATGCACATTTTTGCATCTGATCTTACCATACTTTTGTGAAACACACAGAACAATATTATTAAACTGTACTATAGATTTGGAAAATAAGCTTCAGATGACTAGAGGAACCGGTCCAAAGTCCCCCAACTGGTAAAGTAAGAGGTAGAACTCAAGGTCAGATCTTCTGATGCCATGTCTAGGGCTCCTTCCCACACATCCAACCTTTCCCTTCTCATCCTGTGATACTAATGTGCCTTAGTTTCCTAGAAAAAAAAAACTGAATAGAATTACCTTGCTTGGCTGTATAAGGAACAATCTTAATTACCTTAAGAAGATCTACCACAGTCTCAGCAAATCCCACCACGTACATCGCAACAGCTACTGCGTTGGCAAAAGCAAAGATCAAGCCTATTGACCCACCAAACTCAGGCCCTAAACTCCTGGAAATAAGATAGTAGGCTCCACCTGAAACAACAAATGAACATGCTTTACACAGAGGAACTCCCAAGGACAGTACTTAATATCGTTGAATGAGTAATTTAAATGTTAATTATTCTAATAAAAATATTACAAATTTCTAATCATCTTATAAATCCTGTGTTAACATAATGAATAGCTCAGCCTTTCCTTGGACTCTACATAATTTACAACAAAGTACCTTGCATTAATAAAATCTAATTTATTAAAATGTAAAAAATAATGCTATAAATAATAGTACAATGAGCTTTACAAAAAAATTTGTCTTTAAAAAATATTGTTGGAGTATCCAAAATGATAATGTAAGTGAAATAAAGTTTCATATCTAGAATTTCCAAAAACAGACAGGCCTGGGAGAAAATGAAGGAAGAGAAGTTGATCTTCGTTCTTCAAACTTCCTTGCTGGTATATAAGATTTTCTGGTTTTTTGCTGCATAAACAAGGTGCTTGTATCTATTCTCTAAACCACACTTGGTTTTTTTGTGCATTTTGCTCAACGAGGCATGACTATGGCCAAATACCCATAACATGGGTACCAAGTGGGAAGAAAAGTAGGGAGGGCTTTGAGCCATTGCTTGTCCCTTGGACATTGGAAAGGGATTCTATGTATGGCCATGTACTTCTGAGCACAAGAAAGACAACTGGGCTGGTCAATAGCTTAGAGGTACTTAGAGAAAGTTATGGATGGTAAAAAGACGCTAGATGAGAGTTGTGATTATCACAGCCTGTCATGGTGACTTCCTCTACTGAGCAAGTATTGAGGTAGGCAGAATTGACATGGGAATGACACTGAGAAAACACACTTAAAAATAACAAAACCAAACCACCTTTTAGTGAGAAGGAATTTCTTTCACTTTAGTAACTCTTTTGGGTTAGGGAATCAAAATCCTGTCTAAAAGTATAGCATATTATCTGAGTGAAAAAAATCGCCATTATTTCCTTTATCTCAAATTTCATTAAACATATTAGCTAGCAAGTTACCCAGATTGGTGGTGTGGCTCAAGAGACAGAGCTCTGGCCTAGCAAGTGCAAGGCCCTGAGTTCAAACCCCACTACTGTCAAAAGCAACAACAAAAAAACATTGCTGGATAGGATGCTGGGGAAGAGCCAGGTTGAGGAGACCTAAGAGAGCCACAAGACCAAGCATGCCTTCTTACTAGACTTTATAAATGTGATTCATCACAGGAAATGGACTAAAGAAGTCTTTTCTGGAGATCTTCTAATCTTGGTCAAGAATTTTACCGTTTTAAATTTTGAGTTTTTTTGTTTGAAGTCTTTGGGGACTAATTAGCAACATGAAAATACCACTTTTCAGTATTCAACTGACTCTAGACATTATTTTATAACCAAAGCTTGTATTCATAAGTCAGTTAAGTGGCTTACCTCCTCTTACTACTCCATTTGTGCAAATAGCAGACATAGAAATACCTGTAAGTGTTGTCACTACTACACTCAGGCCAATGATGATGACTCCCAGACCTGCAAAATTCCCCAAGAAAGGTGTCTGACTCTCGTACTGAAAGATGTCACCATTTCAGAAGCAGCATTGTGAATCTTGTCTCTGAAGATCCGTCTTGCCATGAAAACCTGGAATGTTCTAAAAGACCCCATTCTGTGATGGTCTAGGAAGCAGCTGAAATGTACTAAATGTTAAAACTGAAGTCACGTCCAGCAGTCATTTTTTTGAGAAACTCTAGGAAGAAGTGTACAGACGGACCTGAAAAATAAAATGTTTACCCAAGGAATTTGTGCATCTGCAAAGCCTGAGCTGCAATGTGCCAGAGACTTGAGCTGATCAGAGTCGACCTGGACTGTACTCACTGTACCTTACCTTTCCCTCTGCGTGCAGCTCTTCCAGACAGTCAGTCAGTCTTCAAGGACCTCAAGCTACTTCCTTGTTCCCATCAAAAACAAGTATACAAAAAGCTTTGGCCTACCCGAAGAAACTGATGAGAGTATTAGATATCTTAGACATTTTACCTCCACGAACAAACCCGTTAGTTGCTATTGCGGAAGTTGACAGCCCAGTGATAGAGGTTACCATGGTGGAAAGAAGAATTATGAGAACTCCAAGACCTGTTAGCAATGAAAGATAGAAGACATTACATTTTACTTTTCTTCCTTGCATTCCCTACTGCAGCAACCTATACAGTCTTTCATTTCGCTTCCCAGGTCTGTGCCTTGGGCCCCAGTGGTGTTTCTTTATGCTAGGGAGAAACTGGTTTGCTTGGCATAAAGATCAAGTAAAGAACCACTCATTATGATGAAGGATGGTTTCCAAAAGTAAACACACTCTAAAATGCAGCCCTGGAAAGGAAAAGTTGACTTATGCTGGTGTCCTGGGAGAGAAACTACCCCGGCTGTGAAAAGAGAAAACACGACATTTGACCTTTCTCTTGCTTGAGAGGAACCTGAATGAGAAAGTTGGGGATTTGACAAAGGTTAAATCCTGCTCCATTTTTCTTGCATCCCTTTGCCTGGGAGGGGGAAAATAAAGGACCGAACTTGTATTACCTTTGAAAACACTCCAGAAAGGTCAGTAGTGAGCTATTTGAGCCTGTGTTGCTTTTACCTTACAAATGATGTTGAGGGTCACAAGTTTAATTACCTCCTCTGACATATCCATTTGTGGCAATAGCAGAGGTGGACAGACCAGTGATAGCAGTCACTGTCACGGCTAAGCCGATGATAATCACACCAAGACCTCAGTTGAGAGAGGAAAAATAAAGACAATTAAATGGTGGAACAATCCTTTGGGTCATTTACATAAAATTCAGCAAGGCTGGGGAAATCACCAAAGGACCACATTTGAGTTTAACAAGTTGGCCAGGAAATCATCACACAGTAAATGCTAAGACTTTGATAACTCAAGAGCTAAAAATGTGCAGTGCTATGTTGCGTACAACTCAACAACTAATTTAATGGGAATCCCACCTATGATAAAGTTCATAAATTTCAAATTGGCCATACAACCTCTCGCTGTTAATGTAGCTGGAGATTAAATGAGCATCCTTCCAGGTAACTTTTTTTTTTTTCTGTGGAACTGGGATGTGAACTCGGTAAAGCAGGCATTCCTCTACTTGAGCAACAACTCCAGTCCATTTTGCTCAGCTTATTTTGGAGGTGGGGTCTCGAGAGCTATTTGCCCAAGCTGGCCTTAAACTCCCCTCTTTCACATCTCTTCTCCCCAGTAGCTAGGATTACAGGTGTGAGCCACTGGTGCCTGGCTCAGGTAACTTCCTTTTCATGTGCATTTGGTTGTATAGGGATGGAAAGATACATACAATATAGCAAATTGTTTTATCAGGCGGATAGATAGATAAAAAAGAATCACATTGAACTATACTGAATTATTGGCTGTGTGACTTCTGACAAGTTACTTACTTTCTGAGTCAAAAGTGGCCATTACCTTAGAGAGAATGTGTGCGTGTGAACTTGCTACCACAGTTCGTAGGATGTAGTATATAACCAATGGGACTACTTTTTGTCATAAGAACAATAGTCATAAAAGGCTGTGGTTTATTAAAAGACTCCTATCTAGCTGGCTGTGTGGTAGGCAGAGTGAGAAACAAAAAGAACAACTAAAATGGAATGAGTAAAGCTGCCCTCAAGGTTCAGAAGTTAGGGATTATAATTACAAGGTGAAAATAGTAGAGGCTAAAAATCAGAATCAGGCTTGACTGCTTTTAGTTTCAAGAAACACCTAGCCAGGAGAACACCAAAGGGGGGCAGAATATGCCAGAATATCACTTTGGCATAAGGATTATTTTGACTTGAAGAGACATGAAAAGAAGCAGTTACAAGAAAAGCTCTCTGCCCTTCCCATTTGCCTAAATGCAGGACATACTTTGTAAATGTGCTCCCTATCCCATTATCAGGAAGGACAGAAGCTCATGCCAGAGATAACTGTAGACTCTTATCAGCCTGCAGAAGGCACCACAGGAATGATACAATCCTTACCAACTGTCTCTTACCATTAAGTAGTTTCCCCATTTATTTTGATTCCCACAATTTGCCACCCTAGTAACTAAAAGTCCAGTTTCCTTTGTCTTGTCACTTTTTGCAGTTTTATTGTTCTGTTTAAAAGCTGATGTTCAAACCACCCCCCCCTTTGAATTGCCTGTCACCCAGTGCTCCCATGTTTTCTCTTGCTAATATGACATGACAGGGCCATGATAATTTACAGGGCCACAGGCAATGAACCTAAGAAGGGTAGAGGAATACAGTTTTTTTCCTCCCCTATAATACCCTCTCCAATGGAGGATGAGACAGAATTCAGGGAGAAGGTTGTAGGGTCACTGAATTTACCCTGGCTCCATCCAGAATGCTCTGGCCGGTGTTACTGGTATGCTCCATATAAAATGTGGGTATTTCATAATTGCTGTTGGCAAGCTCCCTTGTCCCCGGATGGTTAGAAGGGTAATCATGGCTGTGACATCTCTGGCCATACCCCAATAGAAAGGGAAGTAGAGTGAGGTAAAGGGCAGGGAACAAAGTACTAGAGGCTGGCTCTTTTGATGCTCCCAGCTGTACCTTGGCTCCAACCTAAGTCTCTAGGCTGTTTCGCAGGTTAAAGTGAAGTGAGCCTAAGCTGCAGGCTTGAACCATATTGCTTTGGCCCCTGTAGAATTGTAAGCCATAGTCGCACTAAATGCTTTGCACTCATTGCACAGATCTGTGGTGAGTATCACTTCTATACCACTGTGTGACCTCAGGTCCTGTGCCACTAAAGGTGGTTCATTATTATCTTCTTCAAATTATTTTGCTCTTAACTTCATTTTGAGAAAATTTGGTATCGTATGTTTAGCCTGCCCAAGATACTGTATAGGACTATAAAGTTCTGCATTGCATGACAGTAAACCTGTTCTAACTTCTAATTTCCTTTTGCCAGTATTACTTTCCCAGCAATTCTTAATTCATCCTTTTGAATTGTATAGATTTCTATAAACCATTTGAAATCTTGAAACAATGTCTTACACTTTTGAACAGTGAGGGCTTGCTTCTTTCTCTCAATCAAACATAAAATCCCTGGATGAAGGGCAATTTAGAGAACAGTTAGTGCAATGCTTTCTCAAATGTGGTCCTTGAAGCACCGACTCCAGGAAATGCCCAGGGTGCTTATTAAAAATGCCCAACCTATTGAGTTTGGATCTTCAAAAGCAAATCCTGGGATTCTGCAGTTTTCTGAACCTAACTTCTCCGATAATTCTTATGCATCGTTCAATGAATGACTAAGCTACCCTCAGCCTCTCTCAACTTGTGTCTGCCTGCTCAGCAAGGTTCTTTCGCTTTATCGTCAAATAATTTATTGGGAAAGAATTAATAAAGCCTCCCTAGTTTTTAGCTGAAACGCGAAACTCACAGAGTTTAAGTGACTTGCTTCAGGTCATACCTGCTTTTCACACCCATCTTCCCTGCCTGATAGTTAAGTTTATTTGAAACCATCTTGCCTCAGCCCAGGTCTCCAAGACAACTAGACTGCATTATCAGCTCACTGTGCAATTCACTTTTAAGAATAAGGCCACCCAAATGCTAGCATCAAAATGGCTACCCACGGGCTATAGCTACTGTTACTTCTGTTTCTAGATGCCCTCTGGCTTTATTCCAAGAGTCTGAAAAAAAAAGTGTGCAAGGTTCTTCTCCAAATGACCTCAAGGCAGGAAGAAAGTACTTGTATGTGTTTCTTTTCTATCCCAATACAGAAAACCCAAATGGAAGCAAATGGTAACCTGAGCTATTCAACTTTAGGTTCACAGAAAAATTGACTAATGTTGATAAGAAATTTCTACTACCACTAAAATCTATTTTCTGAAAATGAAAGGAGGGAAAGAAGGAAGGAAAGAAGGAAGGTAGGGACAAAACTCACAAACCTCCAAAGGAAAATTCACTAAACCAGTAGGTAGAACTCTACTGGTTTCTGATATGTGACTTCTCATTTTATTGAAGAAGCTAAAATAAAATATCCTTATTAAAACAACACTAATGTCTGAAAGTATAATAATCGGTTTAGCAGAAGACCGTATTCTTCATATTTTACGATTTTGTGATGAAACACAATTTGAAACTGGGTTGATGATGAAGAGTAATGTAAGATCTGATTAAAGTTCAGATTATTGCCCAAACATATGGGTGTTAAATAAGTTGCATTAAAAAGAATTACTCTTGCCCTTGGCAATTCTCACACCTCCAAAGTAAAGCTTCTTGATGATCTCAATAAGTTACTAAACTGCCCTTAGAAACTTAATCTTGCATGAAACCCTAGAGCAAAACCTTGGCAATATTAAGATGCAGATTTTCCATGGACCGGCATGTACTTATTTTGCCCCTGTGGCTGTGTGCATTCATTTGACATGCATCATAAAACCGGCAAGCAGCCCTTTGTCAGGAGTGGCAGTTGCCAAACATGAAACATGGAAAAACTATGGGAACTGGTTCTCGTTTTTTCAATTTACAGTTTGGCCCTTTCTTTTTTGAGTTGTCTTCTGGTGGTTTTGAATGGTTTTGAGAAGTGAAGTCAATAAATAATCACTCACTACTTTTTAAACATGAATTGAGATACCTTCTGGAGTAGAGTCTGAAGACATCTCTGCACTTCTGTTCTTGATACTAATGATTTATAAATTATCCCTCAAAAATGAACCCATAATGTATTTTGCATATATATAGAACAGTGCATTGCTTTTATCACATAAAAATCAGGAACTTTGGGAAAAATCAAGTGAGTTTTTCATATAGATTTTACTAGTACACTCTCAATGAAAAAGACTTAACAAAGGAAATAATATTTAAAATGGAATGTAACATTTAAAAGCATTAATCACTCATAGAATACTATCAATCACTGATAGAATACTTCAATGCCTTTCATTTTTCCATTTAGAAAAAAAGTTAGTTATATATATTTTCTTAGTCCTTTCATCTATCATTTTAACCTTATATCTGGTAATGTTTTATTAACCTTTGTATTCTTACTGCTGGTAACTAAAAGTTGCACAATTATTTCCTTTGGAAAATGTTCAGCAATTTAACATTTTTATTAAAAAGGTCATATTTTCTCTAATGTTCCCACAGGTTATTTTTGCTTAGTGAAGTTTTGACTATCATCCCAAGAGGGAAACTCTGCAGCTAATAAAGAGCAAATGTCAATCTATCCCCAAATATGATTATTATCTAATGTGAATATGCTTTTAAATACCTGTACACTTTAAACTCTGTCAAAAAATGGAACTATTTACTCGATCATTCACCTGCTTGACAAACTGGAAAACTCCCGCCTCCCTGGAGTTAACTCCTCACCTTTCCTCTGACAAACATCATCAAAGAGGTAAAGTAAAATGTGCTCAGCTGTAAGTTATTTCTGTGACCCTCATCTCCCATGCAGCACTACTGGTGGAGTCAAGTTGCTTATTGAGTTTATAACTTACATCAAAAATTATTTAGGAGGGGAAAATGCTTACCAATCCCAGCTTCTCCAACAATCCAGGAGAGGCGAATAAACAGCATGACTCCCCAGATGTTCAGCATGCATCTAACCTGTGGGTAAAAGGGGCATTGAAAAGAGACAGGACAAGTGATAGCAGGGCAAATCCCAATTGTCTTTGTAACTCTAATGTCCAGGCCTTGCTAATTCAACCCACTAGGTCATTGAATGGGTAGATTTCACTTGTAAACACAGTTTTCTCACCAGCACACCTTTCACCCATCCAAACTTCACAACACCAGATGTGTCTTCTTCTTCCTTGTTTTCAGCTTGTTCATCACTGGACATCCCATCACCATTAGCAACCCTGTCAGCTGAACCAGGAGCCACTGTCACATTCTGCATTTTTACAGAGAGCAAAAACATGGTAGCTGGTCAGCAAATGGTTCCATAAAACTTTCAGAGGCAAATCAAAAGAACCGATATGATGAAACTCTAGACAAAACAAAAAACATATTCTGGCTATGTTAGTAAAATAATGCTTTTGGGGCAGAGTGCTCTCTTTTTCTGCCCTCCACCCCTTTCCTTCTCCCCCTCTCTTCTATCCCCCCCTCCTCCCCTCTTTCCTCCTCCTCTTTTCTTTCCCCCCTGGGATGCTGATGGGGTCCTTTCATGAGTGGGTTTTTAGGCATGGCTAAGGCTGCAGGGCTGTTGGGTAGAACCTGGGCAGTTCTTCCACTAATGAGGATATGAACTTTGGTGAAAGTGGTCACATGTAAATAAGTTTAAAACATAAAAACAACAAAAGAAAGAAGGGATGCAAGGAAGGAAAGCCCAGCAAGAGTGAAAGAGGGTCTTTTAGAGGGCATGTTAAAAAGACAAGAAAAATAACTTTCCTAATAATACAGAGTATCTGGAATTCTTTCCTCATTCTTCATTTTATTCAACTAAAATAATAAAGACAAAACTTCTCAGGTAGGCACAATGATGCATGCCTGTAATCCTAAAACCTGGGAGGCTGAGGGAGGAGGATTACAAGTTCCAGGCTGGCATGGGCTACATAGTGAGACCAAGTCTCAATAAAACAAAGCAAAACAAAACAAAAAGCAAAATAAGCTTCTCTACTCAATTCACTCACCTCAGAAAGTCTTTAGGAAGATTCAATAAAAAAAAACACACTGAAATGTTTTCTTTAAAAAAAACAAAACAAAGCAGCTTAAAATATTCTACAAATGTTTAAAGGTACTGTATGACCACAAGAATACTGTTCTTGTAGGAGAAGTTTCTTATGAGTTCAGCATTTCCTTGCATGCAAATTGTGGAGAAGGTAGGAGGTCTTTCATCTGACTACCAGAAAGATTTGTTGACTAGAAAAAAAATTAAGTAGTATAAAGAAGGAGTTGTTTTTTTTTTTTTTTTTTTTTAGTTTTTCTTTCCTCCTGTGGCCTAATTTTGAAAATGACCTTCCTTCTTGATATGATAGTCTTTGAGTTTAATGGGGGGTGGGGAGAGAAATACATCTTTTTCTTTCAAGTCAAGAATATTTTTCAATGTCTCATTTTGCTTCTAGATATGATTTTCAATTACTTGAAATGAATAATGAAGAAGATACACCTTCTTCATTCCTCCTTTCTAGCACCTACCTGGCTCTTTTAGGCAGTAAACTATATCTCCCTGAGCTCCCCAAAGCAGTCTTTTCTTTCTTGGGCTTTGAAACCAGTAGGGGAAGTCCTTTCAACTCAGCTCTTAATTATCTTTCTTAAAGAATGACTTTATCTTATTAAATTGTTCTAAATTTGTTTAAGCCTAGGATGATTTATTCTGATATCACTAGCTAAGAAGACTTGAACATGCACATTTTTTTTCCCTTTCTGAAATGGGATTGGCGTGAATGATTTTTAAGCCAGCTCATCCTACTATGTTCTGACAGCATTGGGGGAAAAATTGAGCAACAGAAGATATTGAAACTAAATTCAAGCTTTAGTTTTGAATTATTTAAGGAATATCTCATTCTTATACATCCCCAATCCCTACCTACACAGAAATTGAAAGCTGACTTCATATAGTCATACCAATATAAGATATGGATAAACAAAGTCCAAAGAAATTGAGGCTGATCTGGCAAGATAGAAACTGGTGATTTAGATCAGCTACAAATAAAAGTCATGTATGTAATTCTATATCTTCTAGTACTACTACTTTTTATTTATTTTTCAGTTTATTTTTGGTGCTGGGGATTGAATCCAGGGCTAGAGCACACTAAGCACATGCAGTACCACTCAGCTATACAGCCAGCCATTAGTAGTTACTTTTTAAAGAATTAAAAAAAAAAAAACAGAGAAACAATTGGATTTACATATGGACTCTGAAATTTTAAAAATGTATTTAACCATGTAGTAAATCATATTTCTAATATTTGTAATATAAATATTTGTTAGCAGTAGTGTTATCTCTCCTTGTAAAATGAAACTGAGTCAGAGAGTATTTTAATACTGTATTTAACTTAGTAGAAGCTATATAAAATATTTTTATTTAACAGGTAATCAGAATAAGTAAGTTATTTTACATAGTAAATCTTTGAAATCTGATACATATTTTCCACTGACAGCAATCTCAGTGTAGACTGCCACATTTCATATGCTCAATAGCCACATGGGGTTGATGACCACCATAATGGATGGCACAGATCTGCACAACTGCAGATGAATGAAACTTTTTTTTTGTTATTATTTTTAAGTCAAATAAAAAGTCAGGGTTTTTTTTCTCTCTTAGTTTCTACAAACATAAGGTAATGGAATAGGTCTAATGTAATTTATTTCTCATAACTGAAACATAATCAATAAGGGATGTATTAAAATGTACATGAGTGTTGAAGAGATTAATTAGGGGATTCATTCATTTGACTTAATCTGAGAAAAACATTTTATAAACATTGTCAATAGTCTAGATAATTAAGGTTCCTGGAGCCATATCTTCAGCAACTACTCATTCATGCAGAAAGCAATTTACTTTGGCTGAATTAGGAGAAGGTTCCATGACACACAGCCTTAGTCACTTTTAAAGACAGTCTTGGGAATAAAACCTATGTTTTCTGATAAAACCAGAATTTGAAGGTCTTGTCCAGGAAATTACTCTGGTCTCTGATGAAGTCCAATGGTGACTGTGACCCTTAGGTCTAGATTAATGAGAATATCAGTGACTCTTAAAATACCCTACAAAGTAGAATAAAGAATGAATAGGATGTTTATAATTTGTCCTTAAATGAACAATTCTTTCTGATGAATGCTCTTCCTGGTCACAGTTTAATGGTTCTTTAATTTTTCACTAGGACTTTACAATATGATGCAAAACGAATATTCTATTAGGGCATGGCAGAGAAACCACCCATATAGAAGTCATAAAAGCAATTGTTTTATAAATTATTCAAAAATAGAGTCAACGTAGGGTGTTCAACTCTTCAACTCTCTTTTAAGTAACAATGTACAACGTGTTAGTATTTAAAAGTTTAAAATATATTTACACCATGAAGGGGGTTGGGGGTGGGGAACTTTGAATGTGTACTTCTTTTTTTGACTAATAAAGTCTGATAGTAAGTTTACAAGTCCAGAGGCCATTTCCATTGCTTACTGTAATAGGAGCTGAAAAGTCCTGCACCTAATAAACACAGACTTTAGCTGTTCAATTAATTCAGGATGTGTTCTCCAGCAAGAACCTTAACTTTTCTTGGATACTACCAGTGAGAATAAATCCAAGAGTTTTCTGAAAAATCTTACCAGATGTAGTTTACTCTAAGGCAAAATCATTTTTCAGTGTTGGTCACCTTCCTGTTCTGACATGGAAAAGCAAACCTTGATTTCACTCTTTAATAAATGACTCTTTTGTAAGTCAGAACAATAATAAACTCAATGTACCATCAAAATACTGGACATGACATTGAATTGAGGATTTGTGAGAACTGGATGCCTGTTAGCTACAGACCACGGTTTGCAGACTCCTAGTTCATGTACTTGAGACTAAGGTCTCAAAGACTAAAAATTTTATGATTGCTTCCTGAAACCAGTTTTTTTTCCATCATACTTTGAATTAATTTGTTCACATTCTATTACCATAAATGATGACCCATAACCTTCCATAAATACATCACAAATTACATAGCTTCAGGGAATAATTATTTACTAAGGATTTTACCTGTGCATTAAGAATGCAGAGAAGGTGAAATAAAGTGCATTTAAATAAATAAAGACTGTTTGATAAATATCAATAAACAAGTAAAGCTTCAATCAAATGCAGTCTTAGGAGCAAATTCCTAATGAGTTCTTTTTAATGATAAGACATTATTTAATGTGTAATGTGATTTGTCAGACCTCCTAAAATAACACAAGCCTTTGTTGATATTATCAAAACAGAGGAAAGTAAATACATTTATTATTTAAGCTCCAACTAGATAATATTGGCTACTTATTCATGCTCTCAAGTTTTGAGTCTTTAACCTCAGGGTGATAGAAATCTTAGGCCACCATTGAAAAACAGTTCCATAATATGGAGGCTGGGGTGATCTCTTCATTGCTTCAAATTTTTGTTTCATCATTGAAATATTCAAACATGTGCAAAAGTAGAGAGAATAGTATAAATTTCACATACCCAAAACTCAGCTTTGCTGGTGGAGTGATTCAAGTGGCAAAGTGCCTACCTAGCAAGAGTGAGGCCCTGAGTTCAAATCCCAGTCCCACCAAAACAAACAAACATAACTCAGCTTTAACAATTATCAACTTAAGGCCCTCCTTAACCTTCCTAAACCTCTCACTGCTCCCACTGGATTATTTAAAAACCAATTCCAGTAAGAACCAGATGATTCCTAAGGCTCATTTCAGGATGAAAAACATGATTCTAACTATATTTTCATTACTTAGTGACCAAAGTTATTATGAATGTACATTTTCTACCCTTTTGTAATAAAAGGTTATATTTTAAATGAGAGGGCTTTTTTTCTTATTTTAAGTTGCTTCAAATTATGCCTATACATCATCACCCATAGTCATAATTTATAATCATAACATTTTTACTGTATTTGAAAACATACATCTCATATACAAATTGACTTGAGTTTTTGATAATTTAGCCCAAAATTTAGCTATGTAGAATAAGCTAGCATATGAAAAGAAAATTGAAAGGTTCTTAATATTTTCCAAGCATTCACCTTCAATTTCTTAACCTCTTATAATGGGATATTAATCCAAGTTTTTGGTTTTTTCTCACAGATTTTTTTATTAGCATGAGTTCCCAGGGTAAGTGGCGTTGGCTACCAAAAACCTCTACCAAGTATCAGAAGAGGCCTTAGTAACAGTTTCATTCCAAGAAAAATTTTAGAGGTGACTTCTGGTCATCACTGACTTTTAAGG